GCTCCATCTACGCTCTTTTTAATCTTTGCGTCTATGTATATCAAAAGAAGTAGACAGTATAGAGGGAGCTGATATTGACCTTATAGTCTACTAGAGATCATCATAGACTGTTCTCATATCATCAAGGTCCCACTGCATATACAGAACTTCAGTCTCCAAAAAGAACCACCCTGGAGACACCAGAAGTACTTTTTCTAGCTTCTGATGGATTACATTCAAATGCGTAAAGCATTAAATAAGCAAAGAATTAGCATTTTCCTCTCTGATCTAAGAAATGAACTTCTCCCTGAATTGTTTCTCTCTCATCTCTGAGTAGAGAATCTGGCCTTAAGTTACTGGGATGTTTAAACTTTTTGGCAGGTATGGCTAAGTGAAGTTCTGATCCACTTGTGGTAGCAATGCACTGAGCTCTCAAAGCAGCTTAAGGGGGTGGGAAAGGGAGATTCTGAGGTGTTTTTATTACTGTCCCAGGAATCTGGTGTCCTCAGGCAGGAACTTTCCCATTCCTACTTGAGTACTAAGCCACTTGAAACCCCTTTTCAAATTCAAGACAATCTATCTCCTCTTATTTGGCCTGGACACACAGACAAGGATGATACCGGTTTATACTTAGGGCTCCAATTATTTAGTCATTCAAATACAAAAATGAATCATAAGACATAATGTTTCTAACAGTATGGCTTGTCCTTCTGTGTCCCTGAACTGGGATCCCTATTTGGCAATGACGGATAAAGAATAAGGAACCTTATTTTCTATCCCCTTTTATTTTTTCAAAACCTAATGTCTTAAATTTAAGGCTATTGAGTTGCTGGTGTAAACAATATATTAGAAAGCTGCAATTCTTTATGTGGACCAGCACAAGATAAATGAATGATAGATCTGTGAGAGTATTTTTTGTAGACAGAACAAAAATACAACAAGGATTACACTCCTATTGTCAAGTGAACCTGAGCAGCCATACATACTTGTATACATATACTCCATCCCTTTACTAGTTCACCAAAATTCAAACCTTTTCCATTTCTAATACTTTTAATCTTAGTCTTTCAGCCTCAACTCCCCTCCTATGGCCAGGATAGAAGCAGAATAGTCACTGACAACACAGAGAAATTTTCTGCAAGATAAATACATCCAGAGGAGCTGTGTATCTCACTGTAAAGAAGATACAAACATTTGATCAGCTGAATAGCTATTTAAACTTCATTATTTATACTGCCTGGGTCTCCAGTAAATACACTGGGAGATGAGACACTTAACTCCCATGCACAAACCCCAAACAAATTTAAACATTTTCATCTGTAGTTGAATCTTACCCCAAGATGCATTCTTTCATAGGGTATAGCTGTTCAAATCAAAGAAGGGTTAGTGCTTATAGACTGTGATTCTAAAAATTAATAAATTATTAGATTTGGGCATAATATTGTGAGATGTAAGAAGTCACTGCTCAACCAAATCCAAAATATAGATTCTACTGACAAGAATCTGAAATCAGTAAGAAAGTTAAAAGTAATTATTTCTGAAGGAAAGTAAGTTTATCATAACAATTCTGTAGCAAAAAAGATGTGCTCTGAGAAACAATGCCTTGATGCTTAGTAACATAAAACTTCTTAGTTTGTCTTCCTGCATGCAGTTTCTATTAAGTGAGTGTTGCCTGTACTACAGCACTAAGCTTTCCATATGGGCTTTAAATAAAATTCCAGTTTGTTAGTGATACACCCTGCATGAACAGATACTCCCTAAAGAGTGATGACTCCACACAGCACTTACACTGGCATAATTTTCACCGGTGAGGTGAGCACAGTAGTACTCAAAGGCCTCAGCTTTTTCTAAATACTTTTCTGTGTATTTTTTTGCACATCTTTTCCAAATTACTACAACGAATTTGAGTACTTCAACACCATCTTGCAGATCCTCCTTGAACAGAAGAGCTCATAGGGGTATTTTTTGAATTATGTCACTAAATTTTAACTGTCTCAGTTAAAAGATGCCAGGTCCATGCCCTAGGTCCAAGGGCAGCCAGCATGGAGCAACGTGTGTCCATGTTCCTGCTCTCCAAACCTCCTAAAGACAGTGGCCGCATCCAAAACTGTGCTGGAGATAGCTCCTGACCCAGGCTGACTCCCAGGAACTGTTTGGGACAACGCTACCCGGCTCAGGTCTAAGTGTGACCACTTAAAAGCTGATGATCATATTCCAGGAGAGGGAATCTTCTTGGTCATTGCTAATTTAGTACTATATGCAAAATCTACCTTATTTCTACAACAAATAAAGTGGACTACAGAGCATATCCCAAGGTGTATTTAGATTTGTTTAGGTGTATTTAGTTTTGTTTAGGTGTATTGTCCAGAAACAAATTAACTGTATCTGAACAGAGACAAAATTAAACCGGAGTAATTAAACCTCATGTAAAAAAAAGGATATATTCCAAATGCACCTACATTTTATTGAAATCTACTGTATTTTGTGCAGGGCCCATTGCATTTCTGTGAGCTTTGTACAGATTTCCCACTAACAGAAGCAAATCACATTCATAATGAATTTCCTAGACCAATAATACTTACCTGCAGTTTTAAATACATAATATATCTCATAGGCCAAGACACATTAAAGAACCACAAGCTTCTGCCAGTCCCTTTCCATAGGGATGTAACTTAGTTTTAACATTCTGCTGGCATCTAGCACTACATCCAGGTACTATTCTTCTAAGTTATTTTCCCTCCACTGTTTATTCAAACTTGCAATATACTATGAAAGCATTACGGTAGCTATTGCAACTGAATTATTGCATGTAACATCTCAGTGTTGGAAATACATCCCTAAACTAGCAGTCAGAGTGACAGATGAATGGTGTTTCTTTTAATCCTGGGGAAACAAAAGTGAAACAGAGCATGCACAGCATGACACCCTATGCATTCCCTTGTATGCCAGTTCAGATATCTGATGGGAATGATTTATCCTTGTATGGGTGGTATTTGAACTACAAAATAAATGATAAAAAATTGATATTTGTAGAATGAAAAGTCAGCTTTGCAATGACATTGACTAAGGTTTTAATATAGCTATATTTGATTTTAATAATAAGACAGTTTATCCCATCTATAACTGTTCTTACTCTAAGGAGCAGTGCTGCACTGGTATTCTACTGCTGTCTTAGGAAGGCAAAACACTAACTGTTATGAAGTGAGGCATAGGTGCTATTCCAGTTTTTATTTTGTTTTGGTTTTGCCAATACAGGCAGCTGGTTTGCCACTATTTATTGCTATTATTAAAGGTTTTATAATAAGTCATCTAATCACAACATATCAATACCATAATCATGTATCATGACAAAGTAATGTGAATTTTGTTCTTAATGTCTGCCCTGTATTTTAACAGTATTCCACTTCCCTTTGCACATGGCTATTATTACTGTTCTAGAGAAAGTCCCTTTGCATCAAATTAAAACCACAGGATACATCAATAAGTTTTATATTTAATCCAACAAGAACGTAGTTTCTTTTTAATATGATAGGGTTAGTGGGTGTTTTTCAGTCCAAAGTGTAGAATTGTTTGTTCTCCTTTAGTAATGTTTGAAAGTGGCTTGGGGCTTTGCTTACTCCTCCATGTTACAAATGCAGAATAGACCTCACAGAACAGCAAGCAATCTCATGAATTCTTAGCTCTAATTTTGTAAAATGTTTTAAAAGAATGGAGTATAAACAATATTTGCTTTTTGTATCATAACTGAAACCATACTGCTAAACAATCATATCCTGTTTAGCCCATAATGACATCAGAAATATATGTTTATCATCTGCTCTGGACAACTTAGCATGATTTTGGCCCAAGGCAAAGTGGAACTGAAATCATTTACAGTTGTCCAAATCAAGATAACCACACGTTTCTGACGTAACTGATATCTAAAAGGAACACTGCCTTTAGATTGCAATTCATGATTTAAGCATACTAATTCCTTAAAGAATGCTGTTAAAGTGTCTACTGGATATCCTCCACAACTTAGCATGGATTAGACAATGTACTGCACAAAGAAAATGTGATACAAGAGGTTAGCCCATCCACTAACAACTCTTCCTTTAGGAATGTAGCACAATTCCTACTATCTTTGATTCCTTTCCACCCACCTCAAAATGACAAAAAAATCCCGAAGAAAATAAAGCTAAAAATATGTTAAACATTTTGAGTAGGATGTCTCAAGCAATGTTTCATATTTTGTCATTAGTTTGAAAAACTAGTAAGAAAGAAAGTACATAGTACTGACTTCATACATCTATAGAATTAATGGATCTACTCTAAAATAAGTAAGATAAAATAAGATCCTGAGAGGTTTTTTTTAACATGGAAACAGATTGAGAGTTAACGAAACGTAATAAAGTAGAGCAATAGAGAGAGTTACTTTACATATATATATAAGGTATATATACACACTTCATGAATTATAGTCTAGTGAGAAAAGACAAAATGTAGTCAGCTCAAAGATAAATATTTGATTACAGGAACACATTCCTTGACAGACATAGGGTCAGATCTGTCCTTGTCTAAGACAGGAAACATCATACTTCTAGCAAGTTGTGTAGTATTTCAGTCCCTAAAAAAATTGTACTGGAATGACAAAAGAGAATATCCCAAAATGCTGTTGAAACAATTTTCAAATGGGACCAATAATGAAAAAGAAAAACCTGATTGTAAAAAATGTGCGTGAAATGTTTATAAATAGAATCTGCTTTCTACAGGAAGGAAATACAAATACATGGCAGACAGAAAGATCCACAACTATCCTTTAGTAATCTTCCTTCTCAGCATGTGTGCTTAGATATCAGGAAACATTTGAGAGAATAGGAAAAATATGGAAATACGACTCCTTTAGACCATCCGGGCAAAAGGAAAAGCATGCAACAATGTTATAATGGGCAGCATGAAAAAGGCATCAAACCAGCATGATGTATGAAATATTTCACAGTGTTCTCTGCTGGAGCTGGGTATCAGTAAAACAAAATGATTACCTCCATCCGCTCTTGCTTGACATCATCAATCTCATCATCCTCAAACATGGCTAAGAGCTCTCCAGTCTGGTCAATGGAGTTGAGAAAGTCTTGAGCAAGCTTCTGCCGTTTGTTGGTGTTACTGCTGTTGAATTTGTCTGAACAAAGTTAAGCAAAGAACAACAGACTTTAGTTATTTGGCTTCTCCAAACATCAATCTATGATGTCCCCAGGAAGCACACATTTTAGAATCAGATGCAGAAAAGACCTGTTCTTACTGTTTTCCTCATACAAGTTGTGCTACTTTAGCAAGGTGATGTCACTACTATGATGCAGTAGCGCTGTAGTAAAAAAAATCACCTTTGATCTTTTTTAGTATAACCTAGTGGGTTTTGTAATCTAGAGAAACCTTGAATAGAATACATAGAGGAAAAGTTCTTTCCTGAAAGCATGCAGAACATCCTCACTACCTACATCCTAAAGCAAGGCATAACACAAAAATTAAGAAGCAGGTCCACAAGAGATGGACTAATGCTCTACAGTAAAGCCTAGAGAACCCTGGAAAGGTGATCTCTGTTATTCTAAACAGAATAGCAGCTAGAAAGACATTAGATTCACACAACAGAAATAATGGCTTCAACTACCAAAGCCTGCTAGAAAATGCAATCTTTAATTTCCAGGTGAACTGTGTTTAGGAAGCATTTAATGAGCATTTTAATGGCTTTTGAAAATTGTTTATTTGTTTTAAATAGACAGATTTAAATATTACAAACAACAAAGCTGTCAGGTAGGAAGCTATATTGCCAGATTGCTTGCATGAAACAATATACTTCCACGTGTGGTGAAAATAAAATGCCACTGGCAAATTAAATCTCAAATGAGTTGACAAAAACTTATCCACAGATTGATTAAGTCAAAGCAAGACGTACGATGTTTATCTTACATCAATGTGGATGCTCAGAGAAACCAAACACAAGGAATTCATTGTAAAGGAGGAAAAAAAGCCAACAAAGTACCTCTGAGAAAGGAAATAAGTTAAATATAAAAAGTGATGTATGGACATGGGAAGGTTTAGATTTGCTGTCATGAGTTTTAACTTAACATTTAACAAAGGAAATTCTGATTACTCTATCAATATAAATCAGCAAAACTTTATACCAGTAAATTATATGGCATAAATTAATATATTTTTAAATCAGAGAACTTTTCCTTTAAATGCATTGGTTACAAATTCTCTGATTTGCTGATGGAATGGGGAAACAAAAGTGTTTCCCGTTCTTTAAATTACAGGTTAGAAGTACAAAACGTTAAACTAGACTGAAAACAAAGCCAGGTCATATATTAGTGTTCAGTGACTTCAGATTATGGGATTTAAAAAAAAAAAAGCAAACTCTAACACGTCAAAACCTTTCGAGAATAATTTAACAAATGTCCATTCAACTGCATGAGGTAGCCGCCGCATTTAAATTACACATGCTGAAGTCAATTAGCCCTTTAGTTAGCACCAGTTTCTCACCTCACCAGAGTTCTGACATTAAGCAGTCTTATCATTTGGATCATTAATACAAATACTTATACAGTGTTTCAAATGGAAAAGCAGACATTATTTTTCTGTCTTTAACTATTAAACAAGACATTCATACTTTGTATTAAGCTGTTCAGGGCATTTATAAAATATTAAGCCTCCCCCAAATTAAGTAATTTCTTTTTTCTACCTTCAAGGAGGTCATCTTCTTCTATTCCTTTGACAATTTTAGATTTATAGTCTCGAAAAAACATGTATTTAAGTAGCCTTCTAAGCTTCTTCTGAGAGGAAAAAAAAATTAATTAGTGTTTTATAGGGTTTTTTTCTTTACACTAAATTAGTAACACAAACATACAAACATGTAATACATTACTCGGAAATATGTTTTTAAAAATATTCATAATTTTTGATTCTGCAGAAAATCAAAATCTAGAAAGTATATCAAGGTCAGAAGCAATTTTACATTAAATATTATTTATTCAAGCTCCTTCATACTTTGCTTGCCAACTGTGAGACAGACTTTCAGAAAGAAGAAATCGAGAAATCAGACATTCTTAGGACACTCCAAATTCTTTGCTTAGTTTGTAAATTCAAGCCTACAAATGCATATTTCCATGACCTTTGACATCCATATTAACCACTGTTTTGAGTATAGCTTTAGGGATTATATCAGACAAAACCCCTGCAATTGGTTTTCATATTCTAGTGTTTTTTAATTTTGATATGGCTTTGGTTATTAAGTTTCACCTATCAAATGAGGAAAGAAAAATAAAGGGGAGAAAAAAGGGTGAGGGAAAAGGGGGAACTAATGAAAAGGAGATAAAAGAATAAATAATGTTCATAAAAATAGTTGACAATAATTTTTTAATAAGTTTGAAATTTGAAGAAAAAAAGTTAATTTCACCTTTGTATGGAAATTTTTTAAGAAAAGAAAAAAATAAAATTGACCTGCTCCACTCACTACCCAGAGAAAGCAAGACCATCCTGAAATTTGGAAAAAGTACAGGATAAATGTGAGATAAAAGTGAGATAAAGTACAGGAAAAATATTATAAAGGCAAATCAAGACAGGATTTACTGACAGCCTAGATGAGAAAAACGTAATGGTCACACTATCAAATGTCACACCTACACCCTGCATAATGAGGGGAAATTAGAATGATTGATCTTTAATAAAAGGCATATAAAGGATAAGGAAGAATATTTATACTTTCATTAAGAAACTGTTTTGAGCTCTAAGGTACATTACCCACCCCAAAGCTTAACAATTGCAGTGTTGATAATTGCAGTTACAGGAGAAAATGATAATTAATTACAATGTTATACAATTATTGCATTGTGCAAAATACAATACAATTACAGGGAAGCTATACTTTTAAATGAAGCTAATCATGATGACAGACTCCTTTTATACAGGTTTAGCAAGCATGTCAAAACACAACAAGCAGGCCACTATGTAACATAAGAAATGTCTGTCTTACTACTATACCTTATCTTTGCGCATTAAGAACAGGAGATCTTCAGCAGAGATGACTCGCGCTCCTCTCAACTGAGAAACTTCAGCTGCTTGCTGCAACTAAAATAAATGAATAAATTAAGATGGCTGTTTCTGTGTTAAAAGATTTATTCACTAGGGTTTCTTTTAAATAAGTTCGGATAATACTTTACATGGTCTCGCATAGCAAAATACAAGATATACACTAAAACACAAGCTGGGACTCTCAAAGGTGTCACTTACTTGGCTCTTGTTAGCCAAGAATTGAAAATCAATTTTATGAAAAGCCTGAAAGACTTTTGACAAATCTTAAGCTTTTGTGTTTATATTTAAAATGACTGCTTTTTTAAAAAAAACACTACATCCCTATTTTCTTTCCTTCCACCACATCAGCCCAGAAAATGAACACATAATTCTCTCAGGCAATGTAAAAATGCCAAATTCTTGCTATAGCACTTTATCTGCAACTGTGGAATGGTGGCTGATCCCTCTCACGATTTTTTAGAATAACAAATATTAATTTTAAACAGCTTACCTAAGTATTTTTTGAAAGAAACTCTACCCCTACTTGACTTATCATTAGTACAAACCAGGCTTACATGAAGAACTTTTTTAGGCATACTTTTTATTTCATTTGAGAGAAAGAAAACAAATTGATAGGCAATGCTGACTCTGTTAATAAAGTAATTGAAAAACACAGATTGAGCTGACCAGGCCATTCAGATATGAAACAGACAAAGATGGGATTGAGTAAAGAATGCCACAAAAATTGGTAAGAGGTGGCCAAATGAGTGCGAAGCAAAGAACTGTCCTCACCTCCATTGTGACGGTGCCTCTAAAGGCCCCAAACTCCCCAAATTATGCCATAAAGAACAAAAATCCCTTTGTAAGTGACTAAGCAGGTCAGCCTGATTCACTTTCAGCAGTTTCAGGAAGTTGGGCTATATTATACACAAATAGATCATATTAAAACCAATACAAGATTACAAACAAAACTTGTGCAAGACGATGCTTATCAAACTACTGTACTAAGGAGGTCCAACCCAAATGTACAAGTCTAGAGGACTTGCTCCTTTCACTTCTCTAGCCTTTGTTCTGGCATAAAATGATGCTATAGGGTAGGTGTGATACCAAGGTTGCTTCACAGCATGGAATATATCTTCCCGTCTAAATTCAAAACCACTGCCCAAAAGGCAGGTTTTAATCATAGTTTCTTTGTTCTTATCCTCGTTAACCACCTGATGGATGAACTGACAGTGAGCACAGTACAAAAGTTAACAAAAGGAGAGACACTTTATAAAATTCTTTATACTAAAACTCATACACACCTGTAACATGATCAATAAACTGTAATTTTATTTATTTTCAAATATCTCTATATTCTTCTTTCAGAAATGCATTAATGCACCTGAAAATAATTTAAAGAAATCCTATCCTTCATACTCACACTCGCAATGGTTTCACTCAGTATCACTGGCTGAATAAGTATATTATTAATCTGAGCTCCCATGCTGCTATGACTTGAAATAGGCCTATTCAGAAGTTAAAAAGATCAACAAAAACAGTAGCTGTTTCTAATATCCAAAGGAGTAGAGGCGGGTGGGGAAGATTTTCATTTTGGCAAGTGTTCAGTGGGCAAAAGATTCAGTCCATAAATCATAATGCTGGACTGCATTAATTTTTTCCACACTAATCACATGCATACAAAATGTTAACTGTATCTTCTATGCACAACACAAAACATACTGCATGAAGAGTTTCAGATTTTCCCCTTGAAACCCTCTCTTGGCCCTTGCAGTCACAGAGACTAGAGAGATTTCAGGAATTCAGAAGTCACAGTAACACAATCTTACTTGAAAAATGTAAGAATGTGAAAAACGATAGTTCTGTTTTTTGGGATAAGCAAAACTGTTTCTTATTCTGATTAGTTTCAGGGCACGCAAGCTACTTCTATTTCTAACATAAAATATGAAGAACTGTATAAAAATAAATTTATCAAGAATGAGCCAATATTCACCTCTGGTGTAAATCTATTGCAGTTAATGGGTTTATTCCAAGGCCAACTTTGCCCCCACTAAGCCTAAAAATGCTACAAAACCTGACCTTAGCATGGTGATAACAACACAGCTTTTCCAAATATCATATAAAACAATGGCAGAAATATCCAACATGAAAGCATGCTCTAGTTTCCTAACACATTTAGGACCATAACTATAATCCTTAAGGTCCCTTCCAAGCCAACCTAACCCAACCCAATGCATTCTATGATTCTTACCATAAAATTCAGTGTGCTGGTTTTGGCTGGCATAGAGTTCATTTTCTTCATAGTAGCTGGTATGGGACTATGTTTTAGATTTGTGCTGGAAACAGTGTTGATAACACAGGGATGTTTTAGCCAATGCTGAGCAGTGCTTATGCAGGATCAAGGCCTTTTCTGCTCCTCACCCCATCCCACTAGTGAGTAGGCTGGGGGTGCCCAAGGAGCTGGGAGGGGACAGAGCGAGGACAGCTGACCCCAACTGACCCAAGGGATATTCCATAACATATGGTATCATGCTCAGTATATAAAACTGGGGGAAGAAGAAGGAAGTGGGGGATGTTCAGAGTGACTGCATTTGTCTTCCCATTCTCTCCCCCATCCCACTGGGGAAGAGTGAGCGAGCAGCTGTGTGGGGCTCAGTTGCTGCATTGAACCACGACATTCAGACGTGTTCATTTCTGCGTGCAGCTGAAACACCTTATTTCCCAAATGACAAACATGTGACAACGTCATTCAAAGCAAAGATTGTGTGCAAGCTGCTTACAGGAATCTCCCAATGAATTAAGGGAGAGTAAGGAGAGGAGGCCAAATTCACGTCCCATTTGTATCTAAATAAATCGTGAATAACACTGTTTACTTTAATGGAGTTATTCTGGGCTAAACACAAGATCAAAATCTGGAATAACATTCTCAGCTTCTACCAAAACAATGAAAACTTTATTCTCATATAGCCTCGACTTCTGCATCTATTTTATTTTAAGGCACGAACACACGGCATTTAATTTCTTTGGCTTAAAGAAAGCAAAATATAAAAATAATTACTTCCTGTGCAGTTATAAAATATGGATTATTTATCCAAATGGACCATAATGAGTTCTGCATTGGTACACATATTTACCTGGGAAACCAGGATATGCTCAGGTAAATATGTATCTAAGCAATTAAAAAAAAATTACATACCACACAACTGAGGTCGGGGGGAAGATGTATTTATAGTTTTAACACACACATAATTGACTCATTCAAACCACAACATGAGTGCTTTGCTATAATTAGTATTATAACAAACTGTCTTATTTGACTGTCCCAGAGTTGCCATTAATATGCAATAAGCCCCGATTCCTTAATTTCCGGAGCTAAAGGCCTTGTTGAGTCATTAGCATGTCCGTGTTACATGATGAAGGGGGATTTCAGGAAGCCATACCAAAGAAACGATTCATCTCCGAGTAGCCAGGCATTTATCATTCCAGAAAAGCAATTTTCTGCTATGCAACCTTGAAGTTGCTGCAGTGGAAGCATGGCGAAGTTTTACTTTGTGAGCAGCAGGTCTACTGCCCACAACTCCAGATGATAGGCATGATATAAATACTGCAATAACTTTTCACACATGAGGTTCCTGTACGGCAACAGTAGAGATATGCCAAGAATTTCCTACCATCTCCCTTCTCCAAGTCTCTGTAATATTCAGTGCCAGCCACGGTATTTGTGGCAGCACCAGTTCCAGCATACTCATTGTCTTTTCCTAAATTTTAATGATTATTTAGTCCACATTTCAAAATATTTTGTTTGAGGCTATCTTGAAGAATGGAAAAAAATCCAATTTACTTAGCATTTTAAAGAAAAATGGGCTAAATTTCCTAATACCAGCAAACAATATTTGAGACCTTGGAGTCTGAATGCATTTTTTATTACAGCCAAATTGTGAAACTCTAAAAGTGAAGTTTAAATAACGGAAGTGTTGAAATGACTTTAACTATAGGAGTGCAAAGAGCTCTGTTAATAATTAGGAGTTTATGAAAAATAAGTGTATTTTACAATTTTTCACATTACAAAGAAGGTAGTATATACAGTAACTATATTTTAAAGTCTAAGAAGAAATGGCTGGGGAATAATATTTTAAAATGTAATCACTGGTTTAATGACTTTATGAAGTTAACTTTCTTGGCAGGATGAACTGAAGTATGTTAAAAGTCACCTTACGGCTATTTTCTTTTTGCAACTTCTGCAAATTATAGATTCGTTGAAAGGAGTATTCATTCTCCTATGACAACACACAGTTACTTCAATGGTACTGTCTGCTTTTTTTTATTCATAATTTTTTTACTTCCACTACCTCCAAAGTCAACAATCACCGATACTACTTCTACAGAACTGTCTTGATGGACAAACAGACAAAAAGCTGGAAAACAAACATACTGTGTTGTGACATAATCCTTCCAGTTAAACTGCAGGACAGAGTCAAAATGGTAACGTTTGCATGCCTTGAAACTGCTGGGAGCCAAGAATAATGCTTCAGGAGCTATGATTTTGTTTTCATTATAGAAGAAAATTAGATCATAGTTCACCTGGCCAATTTTTTTTCTGAGGCAGGAAGATTGTTTTGTTATTAAAATCACATTGAAATGCCCTATTTCTTCATATTTTCTAAATCAAAAATATGCAACTAACAAAGAATATTCTGAATTTAAACATAGTTCTGTAAATGTATTCTAAACAGAGCATCCTCATACTTTTTTGAAGGCAGTTAAATAAAAGAGTTGAATACCAGTTTTCACTTCCATGTAATATCTCACATGCTACTAATGCTGGCACCCAAACTTCTAATTCTAACACAAATAGGAAAAATACAGAATTTGCTTCCAAAAGTGAGTATAGGAATGTGCTTTATCCAGTTAGCACATCTCAGAAATATAATTACATTACAGAGTCCACTAGAGCATATTATAATGGTTAATGATTTATGATCTCCACACAAGGGTTAAATAGCATGACTATATCGTCACAAGCTGTCTAAAACATAAAACTTTAATCTGCA